GCTTTGCGTCCTGCCAGCCGGGCGCTCGCTGCGCGGCTGCATGGGCTCGGCTATCCGACCCGCCGCGACCCGCGGAGAACACACAGGCGGCCGGACGTACTGACTTGCTGGAGGGCTGCTAGGCGGTGGCGGCCGGCTCAGCGTCCCTCGCTCCCGCCGCCCGCCCGCAGCCGCTGTTTCTCGGCGCCGCCCGCCCCGCCTCCCGCGCTCCCCGCGTCTTCGGGGACTGAACACAGCACTCCAATCCTCCCAGTCAATGTCCGGGCGCCCCGCCCGCTTTCTCCTCCAGGAAGCCCCCGGGGCCCCCCCGCCGCCTACCTCGGAGAAGCCTCCCGGACCAACCATCCCCGCCAATTCATTTAAGAAGCCCCGCCCCCGTAAGCACCCCGGGCCCGCAGCTGGGAAGGCCCTGCTGCCCCTGGGGCCTGAGGCAGCCCGGTACCACATCCTGCCTCGCCCCCTTTATGACCCCAGACAGACCACTTTGCCTGGCTGGCCTTTGCTGGGTTCGCTCCATGAACCCCTACACGTACCAGGCCTTGAACTGGGCGCTAGCTGCGGGGAGGTGGGGTGGGGTGGGGTGGTGGCGGTAGGGTGGGATGGGGTGGGGGCGCAGGGTCTGGGGGACCTGCCAGGAGCCACGCCTGCTTCCAAGAAGGCTGTGGGATCTGGGGTCCCAGGACCACAAACCCTTGCCCTTGGGGGTGGGGGGGATAGGAGGGCATAATCTGGTTTTCCCACCTCCTTTCTTCTAGCAAGGCAACCTTCCAGCCACTGGGCCTTTGACCTGCCCTTCCCACAGCCGGGGCAAAGGAAAAGTGGCCATTCCTGCCCGGCCCCATATTGTGGATTTAGGCAAATTCCCAGCAGAGGACTCGGTGGACCCAAGTATCAGGTGCAGCACTTTCGGGAAGATTTGGCCAAACGGGCTTCAATAACAGCTCTGGGATCTGTCCACTGCCCCCCACCCCTTGCTGTGGATTGTCCAGTGAAGTAGAAGTGATTCTCATCATTCTGATCCTCATTTGATCCAGTCGAGACCGGCCTGGCCATCAGAGTATCATTTTTTTGGCGAATTCCCCCCCACCCCACCCCCCGCCCCATGGCATTGCCTATTCTACTAGACTGCTTTTCCTGCTAGACTGTTGGCTCTTTATTATTGATTTGTAAGAGCTCTTTGCATAGAAGTCCTGTCTGTCAAATGTTTTCACCTGGATGCATTTTGTCGTGCACTGACATTCCCACAGGCACGTGCTTATGGAGCTCTGGGGAGGCTGTGGGCAGGGCTGGGAGAGGGTGGCCCAGGTCCCATGCCTCACCTTCCCTCAGATAGGTGCCGCTATTACTCCCTCGGACCGGGAAGGACACAGTTTGTGAGCAGCAGGTCAGCGTTCCACCCTATGCAGTCCTGCCCGATTTTCGAGATCTACAGCCCGACACTCAGCGATGTGTGCGGGAACCGTGACTGAACCAGGCCTGCGCCATTAGCCTGCATCCGGCCTGCCACCCTGGGAGCCCGGAGCACAGAGGATGTGAACGCGCCCTCCCGCCTGGATGCCACCAGAGCCACCGTTAGAGAAACTGAAAGCCACCAGTGGGGCGCGGCGGGGCGGGCCCGGGGGCGGGGCGGGCCCGGAGGAAGTGCGGCTAAGGGACGGCATTCTGGGGCCGGAAGTGGGGCGCACGCTGCTGTCTGGGAGTGATGGCGGCGGCGCGGGGTGGCAAGCGGTAAGTTGCGGGTCTGAGGACCGATTCGGCCTTCCGGTGGGTGCTTGTCCCCAAAGGGGCTCTCCTTGTGCATCTCCGTGTTCCTGGTGCAGCAAGGCAGGGGCATGCCGGGCTGGCGGGGAGTCCTGACTGCGACGTCGTAACCCGCAGGCGCCTGGCAGAACTGACAGTGGACGAGTTCCTGGCTTCGGGCTTTGATTCTGAGTCTGAATCGGAGTCCGAAGCAGCCCCAGAAGCAGAGACGCGGGCGGTGTTTGGAGCCGACCGGAGACTGGATGGGCTAGGCGGGAGCCCCTCGTCCAGGTGAGAGGAGCGTCTGCCTTGGGACGTCTGTAAAGCCAAACCCTTTTCACTGTCCTGGCCCACCCCATCAGGTGGGTGGGGATCACTCCTGGGGTCTCAGGACTGAAGCCCAGGGACCTCCGACCCCTCCCCCAGACCCTTCGGCTTATTCATTCTTGCTTCCAGTGTTTGCTGAGGCCTTGCTCTGTGACGAGCCTTATTTTTTTTTTTTAAGTTTTTTTTTTTTT